AGAGTGAGAGATGGGAGAGTGAAGGGAGATAGTGAGGGGAGAGTGAGGGGGGGGGGAGTGATGGGAGAGTGAGAGATGGGAGAGTGAAGGGAGATAGTGAGGGGAGAGTGAGGGGGGGGGGGAGTGAGGAGTGTGGGGGGAGAGTGAGAGATGGGAGAGTGAAGGGAGATAGTGAGGGGAGAGTGAGGGCGGGGAGTGAGGAGTGAGGGGGGAGAGTGAGAGATGGGAGAGTGAAGGGAGATAGTGAGGGAGAGTGAGGGGGGGGGAGTGATGGGAGAGTGAGAGATGGGAGAGTGAAGGAGATAGTGAGGGGAGAGTGAGGGGGGGGGAGAGTGATGGGAGAGTGAGGGGGGAGTGAGGAGTGAGGGGAGAGAGTGATGGGGGAGAGTGAGGGGGGAGAGTGAGAGATGGGAGAGTGAAGGGAGATAGTGAGGGAGAGTGAGGGGGGGGGGTGAGGAGTGTGGGGGGAGAGTGAGAGATGGGAGAGTGAAGGGAGATAGTGAGGGGAGAGTGAGGGCGGGGAGTGAGGAGTGAGGGGGGAGAGTGAGAGATGGGAGAGTGAAGGGAGATAGTGAGGGGAGAGTGAGGGGGGGGGGGGGAGTGATGGGAGAGTGAGAGATGGGAGAGTGAAGGGAGATAGTGAGGGGAGAGTGAGGGGGGGGGGGAGTGAGGAGTGTGGGGGGAGAGTGAGAGATGGGAGAGTGAAGGGAGATAGTGAGGGGAGAGTGAGGGCGGGGAGTGAGGAGTGAGGGGGGAGAGTGAGAGATGGGAGAGTGAAGGGAGATAGTGAGGGGAGAGTGAGGGGGGGGGGAGTGATGGGAGAGTGAGAGATGGGAGAGTGAAGGGAGATAGTGAGGGGAGAGTGAGGGGGGGGGGGAGAGTGATGGGAGAGTGAGGGGGGGAGTGAGGAGTGAGGGGAGAGAGTGATGGGGGAGAGTGAGGGGGAGAGTGAGAGATGGGAGAGTGAAGGGAGATAGTGAGGGGAGAGTGAGGGGGGGGGGGAGTGAGGAGTGGGGGGGGAGAGTGAGAGATGGGAGAGTGAAGGGAGATAGTGAGGGGGGGAGTGAGGAGTGAGGGGGGAGAGTGAGAGATGGGAGAGTGAAGGGAGATAGTGAGGGGAGAGTGAGGGGGGAGTGAGGAGTGAGGGGGGAGTGAGGGTGGAGAGGGGAGAGAGGGGAGAGTGTGAGAGGGGAGAGAGATGGGAGAGTGAGGGGGCAGAGTGAGAGATGGGAGTGAGGGGAGAGTGAGGGGAGAGAGTGAGGGGGGGGAGTGAGGGGGGGAGAGTGAGGAGTGAGGGGGGAGTGAGGGGGGAGAGGTGGGAGAGTGAGAGATGGGAGAGTGAGGGGAGAGAGTGAGGAGTGAGGGGGGAGAGAGTTGGAGAGTGAGGGGGGAGAGTGAGGGGAGAGAGTGAGGAGTGAGGGGGGAGAGGGGAGAGTGAGAGGGGGGAGAGGGGAGAGTGAGAGGGGGGGAGAGAGTTGGGAGAGTGAGGGGGGAGAGTGAGAGGGGAGAGTGAGGGGGGAGAGAGGGGGAGAGAGTTGGGGAGAGTGAGGGGTGAGTGAGGGGTGAGTGAAGGGGGAGAGAGGGGGGAGAGAGAGGGGTGAGTGAGAGGGGGGAGAGTGAGTGGAGAGTGAGGGGAGAGAGTTGGGAGAGTGAGGGGGGAGAGTAAGTGGAGAGTGAGGGGGGAGTGAGGGGAGAGAGTGAGGGGAGAGTGAGGGGAGAGTGAGGTGGGAGACGTTCAGAGTTCCACAGTGGAGTTCGAGGTGGGGGTGAATGATTTCACACGGCACAGACCCTGTGTGGTTCATCCTTCTCTTTCTCGATGGTGTTTCTAATCAACGGAGGCCACGTAGCGGGGAGACGCCTTCCCGAGTGATGGTGATTGTGGTGGTGGTGATAGTAGTGATAGTGATGAGAGCGATGGTAGTAATGGTAGTGATGGTCGTGATTGTGATGGTAGTGATGGTGATAGTGGTGATGGTCGTGATTGTGATGGTAGTGATGGTGGTGATCCTGTTGGAGTTTTCGTTAAAGCTCAAGAGAGGCCGCGTGTACGAGAGAGTGTCTCTGTACGAGCGAGGGGGGAGCGGTGGTGTAGCGGTCAGCGCGCTGCGCTACGAACCCGGCGACCCAAGTTCGATTCCCGCTCACGGCCAGCAACACCGGTGACGATTATCTGCACCGGCCCTGGGACTCCCCTAGGTCGACTCAGCCTCAAAATGGTGCAGTGTGTAGTAAACATCGCCGCTGGGGAGACAAAGGCGGCCGGGCTTGGTGCTGGCCACCCACCCCCTCGTGCGCCGTGCCGGCCTTCATAGGTTGCTACTCGCTAACAGCGCTCGCCCCCAACAGTCCGTAAAGGCTGTCCGGGGGACCTTTGTCTTTGTGTCAGTGACGTGGTGTAGGCGAGTTGCACTGCCACAGACCCTTACGAACCGTGCCGAACGAGTCAGGGCAGTGTGGGATACTCGTCACCGGTGTTGGCCGTGAGCGGGAATCTTAACTCGGTAACTCGCCGGGTTCGTAGGGCAGCGCGCTGACCGCTGCACCGCTCCCCACGATCGCTCGCCCACCAGCGAGAAGGGGATGGGATATCCCCGGGTTCGACTCCCGACCCGGGCGCCTTGCCGTGCGTGGAGGAGGATTGTTTTTTCTGCCTCTCTGTTCACAGCGTGGATTTGCCTTCCGGGGTGCCGGGTCCCCTCCGATTTCGAGCCGTATTTTGGGCAGATAGAAAGTTCCACGTGGTGATGAGCCACTTCGTTGAGCTCTCATTTGCGATGGGCAGGTCACTTCTGAGCATAAGAGCCTTACCTGATTTAAAAGAAAAAAAATACGTTTGGGCAGTTTATAACGAAAACAAAACCTACCAATCGTAACATCCAAACAAACTTTACAATGCGGTCTAAATGACCTCCGAGAAATACCGCGTCTCAAGGAGGGTTCTGCCGAGTTTGCTCAGTAGGGGGTGATGATGCTGCTGCTGTGTGTGTGTGTACTTTGCCAATCGAGTGCGTCACGGTAATGAGATGTTAACCACCTCGCCGGGTATACAGGAGGTCGTGGGTTCGACCTCTGACGCCTGCTGCTGCATATTTGGAGTTTGTGTGTCTCTCTCTCCCCGTGGTCGCGTGGATTATTTTTCTCCGGATGCTCCGGACTTTACCTCCACATTTAGAATCAACATCATGCTAAAAAATGTTTACACGTGATGATAAGCCACTTCGTTGAAATAAAAACATTTTTTAGGCCAGGTCGCTTCTTAAAAATAACTATATAAGCTCAGTAGGCGTTACCTAGTAAAATAAAAAAATATTATTTCAGTGATTTGCAGTTAAATTTATTAAGCATTTTGATCTCTGTTTGGTCAATACCCAGTGAAATTGCACGGTTTGTTTTATAGAGATGATAACTCGGAGGAAACCCACGCAGAATCGAAGAACAACAACATACGAATCCCTCTTGTGCTATCGATAATCCCCTAACATTCAGCGGAATGCAGACCTTCACCCAAACACTATCATGTAACCCCTCAACCTTGACCCTCATCCAAACCCTGAGCACTATCGGTAAATCTGAACGTTCACACTCTCGTCATGGCCACGAGCCCTATCCCACACACCATCCATGACACTGCCCCCACTCATCGCCTGTTGACACCCAAACTTTAATAGTGATGTTCATTTCTGCCCGCACCCCTACAAGAGCGTTCCCGCCCGCACACCTACGGAATGTTCCCAGCCGCACCCCTCCTGAACGTTGACTCTCGCCGTGGCCATGAGTCCTGTCCCCCACACACCTTCAACAGTGTGCCGTTTGTTACCGGGAAACATCCCACCCCACAACCCCCCCACTGGCACTTCTGGAGACTGCACGTGCCAATCGCCCTGCGTCGATACCAACTCTACTGCACAATTACAATGATCATAATGATTGTAATTGTTCTCTCCAGGGACCTCTGACCCTGACCCGGAACCATCGACCTCAGGGCTGGAGCTGCTAGCGCCGCTCCAGCCAGCACCACCCGTCCTCCTGCCAGGGTACAGCAGCACCAACAGCGGCAACAGTAGCAGCAGCAGCCACAGCAGCAGCAGCAACAGCGGCCACGACTGCAACTGCTGCAGCAGCACCAAGATTAACAGCTGCAACAGCAGCAGCGGCGGCAGCAGCAGCAACAGCGGCAACAGCAGCAGCAACAGCAGCAACAGTAGCAGCAACAGCAGCACCAGCAGCAACAGCAGCCACAACAGCAACTGCTGCAGCAGCACCAAGATTAACAGCTGCAACAGCAGCAGCGGCGGCAGCAGCAGCAACAGCGGCAACAGCAGCAGCAACAGCAGCAACAGTAGCAGCAACAGCAGCACCAGCAGCAACAGCAGCCACAACAGCAACTGCTGCAGCAGCACCAAGATTAACAGCTGCAACAGCAGCAGCGGCGGCAGCAGCAGCAACAGCGGCAACAGCAGCAGCAACAGCAGCAACAGTAGCAGCAACAGCAGCACCAGCAGCAACAGCAGCCACGACAGCAACTGCTGCAGTAGCAGCAGCACCAAGATTAACAGCTTCAACAGCAGCAGCAGCAGCAGCAGCAATCCTCGGCAGACATCACCATGTGGCAGCGGTGCGTGGCTCGCTGCGCCAGCATCGCACACATCACCACCATCATCGCCATCACCGCCACCATCGTCACCGTCACTGCCGCCACGGCCGCCGCCGCGACCGCCGCCACGGCAGCCATCGCCACACCCGCCGTCGCCGCCACCGCGGCCGGCGGCAGCGCCGCAGCCGATGGCGCCGTTCGCGGGGCGGCCGGCGACCGCCACCGGGGCCACCGCCGCCACCGGCGCCGAACCCGAAAAGTTGAAGCGCGACCGGCGGCGGCGGGGGGGGGAGGCGCCGGTGGGGAACGGCGGCGTCGCCAACGGCAATGGTAACGTCGGCAACGGCCGCGGCGACCGCGGCGGCGCCGGCGGCGGCGGCGGCGCCGGCGGCGGCGGCGACGGCGGCGGCGGCGGGGTGCGGACTCACTTCCACACCTTCCCGTGCCTGGAGGACTTTTGCGCGGTGCAGCGGAGCCACCGCATGCTGGAGGAGAGCGGCTTCTACTGGGGCCACCTGTCCAGCACCGAGGCGGCCGCGGCGCTGCTCGGCAAGCCGGTGGGCACCTTCCTGGTGCGCGACAGCCGCCACGGCGGCCACTTCTTCTCGCTGAGCGCCGTGACGGAGCGGGGCCCCACCAGCGTGCGCGTCCAGTTCCGCGCCGGCACCTTCGCCCTCGACACGGCGCAGGAGGCGGCGCACTCGGCCCCGCACTTCGGCAGCCTCATGGAGCTCATCGAGCACTACATGGGCGAGTCGCGCCGGCTCGACCGGGCCGGCGGCGGCGGCGGCGACTGCCGGCACCGCCGCCGCGACGGGACGCCGGCCGGGCCGCGCTACTGCGTGACGCACGACGACGGCACGCGCCTGCCGCTGCTGCTGTCTCGCCCGCTGCCCCGCCACGCCGGGGCGCCGCCGTCCATGCAGCACGCGTGCCGCCGCGCCATCCACCGCGCCGTGCCCGGCGAGCGCCTCGCCGAGCTGCCGCTGCCCGCGCCGCTCCGGGACTTCCTCGAGAGCTACCCCTCGCAGGTGTGAGCCGGACCCGCGGTGGCGGAGGGGGGTGGGGGGGTTGACGGGGCACGATAGGATGGGGCGGGTGGCGGCTGTCCCCCCGGAGGTACCCATCCACACCCCAAAGACAAAGATCCCCCGCGTATCCTACTAACAGACGCCGAATGAAGGCCACCGGCACCGTGGCACACGACGGGCTGGTGGGTGGCCAGCACCACGCCCGGCCGCCGTCGTCCCCCGCAGTGGCGACGTTTTTTTACCCACATCGCACCGGGTGCTCATTTGAGGGAGGAGGCCCAGGCCCCGGTGCAGATAGTCGTCACCGGTGTTGGTGGCCGTGAGCGAGGAATCGAACTCGGGTCGTAGCCGGGTTCGTAGCGCGGCGTGCTGGCCGTTACGCCACCCCACACCTCACCCACGGTGGAAGTGGCGCTGCCTCTCCCCGCCCCCAGAGGAGTCGGAAAACAAGACCCGGAGTTGGCCTCTGAACTCGAGGATCGCATCTTGGGATTTGCGGCCGCCGGAAGTCCGCTGACAATCGAAGCCGCACGCTGCTGCATCCAAGACCCGAATTGCGGCTAAGAACTCAGAATCTGAATTTGAATTTGCGCTGCTGCATTCAAGACCCGGAATTGGTTAATGACCTGGATTTGGATTCAAATTCACGCTACTGCACCCAAGATCCCGGATCCGCATAGGGACACTGGATCTGGATTCGAATTCACGCTGCTGCGTTCGAGACCCAGCTCTGGTGAGTGATCTGGATTGGAATTCACGCTGCTGCTCCCAAGACACGGATCCTCATTAGGACGCTGGATCAGGATTCTAATTCATGCTGCTGTCCACAAAAGCCAGATGTGGATCGGGACTTTGGATCTGGATTCGAACTCACACTGCTGCATCCGTACTGCGTTCTGCATCTGGACTTTTTGTGCACCGTGCGCAGATCCAGACCTTGAGCCAAACTCACAATCTGCACCTCAACTGGGAATCGAACCCATGTATGTTTCCGCCCAGAGTCAAAAACATTGCACGTGGCTAGGCATGAAGTCAAACCCAAACACTCCTCAGGCACCTTGACCAGTAGTCAAACTCAGGCTCTGCAGCCATATGTGTAGTTGACTCTGCTCTTGAACGTGGAGTACAGATAACAGAGTTGAACATTGATTTCATTAGACTTGTGAGAGCGGGCTGGAGAGATGACCAGAAGTAACCTGGTCTGGGCCATCAGCAGCGGTGACCTGGGCCATCTACAACAGTGACCTGGGCCATCTGCAGCAGTGACCTGGGCCATCTACAACAGTGACCTGGGTCATCTGCAACAGTGACCTTGGGTCATCTACAACAGTGACCTGGGTCATCTGCAACAGTGACCTTGGGTCATCTACAACAGTGACCTGGGTTAACTGCAACAGTGACCTGGGTCATCTGCAACAGTGACCTGGGTTATCTGCAACAGTGACCTTGGGTCAACTACAACAGTGACCTGGGTCATCTGCAACAGTAACCTGGGTTATCTGCAACAGTGACCTGGGCCATCTGCAACAGTGACCTTGGGTCATCTACAACAGTGACCTGGGTCATCTACAACAGTGACCTGGGTCATCTACAACAGTGATCTTAGGTCACCTGCAACAGTGACCTGGGTCATCTACAACAGTGACCTGGGCCATCTGCAACAGTGACCTGGGCCATCTGCAACAGTGAGCTGGGTTATCTACAACAGTGACCTGGGTTATCTACAACAGTGACCTGGGTCATCTACAACAGTGACCTGGGTCATCTACGACAGTGACCTGGGTCACCTGCGACAGTGACCTGGGTTATCTACAACAGTGACCTGGGTCACCAGCAACAGTGACCTGGGTCATCTACAACAGTGACTTGGGCTATCTGCAACAGTGACCTGGGTCATCTGCAACAGTGACCTGGGTCATATGCAACAGTGACCTGGGCTATCTGCAACAGTGACCTGGGTCATCTGCAACAGTGACCTGGGTCATCTGCAACAGTGACCTTGGGTCATCTACAACAGTGATCTGGGTCATCTACAACAGTGACCTGGGTCACCTGCAACAGTGACCTGGGTCACCTGCAACAGTGACCCTGGGTCACCTGCAATAGTGACCTGGGCCATCTGCAGCAGTGACCTGGGTCAAACCTGTGGAAAGAAAAAAAATAATCTGGGGAGATCCGGAGTGTGTGTGTTGTTGTTTTTTGAAAGCCATTACAGAATTTGAGCGAACCAGGAACCGAGCGAGGGATGGAACTGTTAGCCCCGGGAACTCCGCGTCATGCGGTGCCAGCGCAGACACATCATCGACGGGCGTGGCAACTCGCGCGCGATGCATTCGTTACGGTTTTTCGAGTTGGGTTGTTTGCTTTCGGTTGTACGCCGTCACTGCTTCAGAACTCTTATTTGACATCAAGTAATTCCCCCAATTCCAGTTCAGGTGCAAGAATTACGAGAGCACAATGCAAGCGCACGTATATAATAGCGACGATGCCAAATTCGGACTCCGTTGTCTGCATCATATGCAGGGATATTTATGTATGTGTAACAGTTTATATATTACGTTACGGTATAGGGCGGCTGCAGCAGTGGTGTTATGGTTTTCGCCGCACTGTGACTCGCGATCCAGAGGTTGCCGGTTCGATTCCACGTCCTGGCACCCTGGGCGGTTTAAACGACGTTCCTTGAATTCTCCGCGAGCCACTGCCACCGCCGCCGGCACCACCGCTACCGCCACCACCGCCACCGCTACCACCGCTATTGCCACCACCACCACCGCAACCACCGCCACAATCACCGACTCCATCTCCGCCGCCACCACCACCGCCACCACCACTGCCACCGCCTCCGTCCACCCAGCGGAGTGAATGGGTCCGGCACGGTCGGACGGTCGATCCATCGAATGGTGCAGGTCGCGTCCGGTGGGGTAAAATGTGGCAACACGTGTGTGTGTGTGTGTATGTGTGTGTGTAGGTGTATGTGTGTGTGTGTAGGTGTATGTGTGTGTGTGTAGGTGTATGGGTGTGTGTGTGTGTAGGTGTATGGGTGTGTGTGTGTGTAGGTGTTTAGGTGTGTGTGTAGGTGTTTGGGTGTGTGTGTGTGTACGGGTGTGTGTGTGTGTGTGTACGGGTGTGTGTGGGTGTGCATGTGGTGCTCGCTAACAGCACTTTTCCCAACAGTCTGCGAAAGGCTATACGGGGGATCTTTGTCTTTGTGTGGGTGTTTGTGTGTGTGCTGCTCGCTAACAGCACTTGCCCCAACAGTTTGTTAAGGCTGTACGGGATCTTTGTCTCTTCTATGGGGAGCGGTGACGCAGTGGTTAGAGCACTACGCTATGAGCCCGGCGCACCCGAGTTCCTCATTCCCGCTCAAGACCAATAACAGTGGGCAATATTTGAAATTGTGCTGGCCCTCCCCTAGGTCGACTCAGCCTTAAATGAGTACCTAGTGCGGTGTGTAAATATTATCATCACTGGGGAGACAAAGGCGGCCGGGCGTGGTTTTGGCCTCCACGTGTGCCGTGCCGGCCTTAATAGGGTGCTCGCTAACAGCGAGCACCCAATTAAGCTATACGGGAGATCTTTGTCTCTTGTCCGTTCTCTGAGTAGGTATTCTCCAGGCACTTTGATATTTACTCACACACACTCATCTCCTGTTTACAGCCCTGAGCCAGCGGTGGAAGTTCCACATTCCTATGGCGGGGGCAGATAGAAAACCTCGCATGACAACCACCTGCAGTGCAGAAGGGAAAAAAAATGTTGAAATGCAAAAAAAATGTAATCAAAGTTTTGCCCTAAGAGACGTCAATTTGTGGCAGCAGAAAATATGGATGCTCGGACGTTAACCAAATAAACGATGTTACTCGTCGTCATTTTAATTGTCACCAAGTAACCGTGGTGTATATTAACCGCACACAGACGCAGCTGAAGACCAACAACCACCGCCGTCCGCCACTAAGTGGCGGTGACGCCGCCACGGCGCTCGTGCCAGGCTAGGTGCACACAGCCCGGCACAAATATACACACACGCGCGCACACACACCTCAATTTACAATGACACGCACACACAGACAGACTCACAGTCACAAACACACACACAGGTACATCTAAATAAACAAACGGACCGAATTACATGTTCGCAACATGGGTTTGCGACCACATGCACGCACGCCAACACGTGCACGCAGATCCGCAAACGCGTGAACGTACACACAAATGTACATGTGCATATTTTATGAACACACACGCACACATATATATACATACCCGGGAAGGTATTTGTGTTGTGACGTGCGTTGTATTTTTTCAAGAAAAAGCGCCACTTAATGTTTATTTATCCACAAGACACACACACGCACACACTGATGAGTATGCGTGTGCGTACGTGTATGTGATATATTATTGATTAAGTCATAATGTCATATCGTACATTTTAACTTTGAAAATTGCACACATTAAATATTTATTATAACAATCATACCTGCTTCATTGTGACCTCTCTTATACAGGACATTGAGTTTAGACAATGAGAGACAGAGTGGTCTTTGTGTCTCTAGAGACAATGAGAGACAGAGTGGTCTCTGCGTCTCTAGAGACAATGACAGACAGAGTGGTCTCTGTGTCTCTAGACAATGACAGACAGAGTGGTCTCTGTGTCTCTAGAGACAATAACAGACAGAGTGGTCTCTGTGTCTCTAGAGACAATAACAGACAGAGTGGTCTCTGTGTCTCTAGAGACAATAACAGACAGAGTGGTCTCTGTGTCTCTAGAGACAATGAGAGACAGAGTGGTCTCTGTGTCTCTAGAGACAATGAGAGACAGAGTGGTCTCTGTGTCTCTAGAGACAATAACAGACAGAGTGGTATCTGTGTCTCTAGAGACAATAACAGACAGAGTGGTCTCTGTGTCTCTAGACAATGACAGATAGAATGGTCTATGTGTCTCTAGAGACAATAACAGACAGAGTGGTCTCTGTGTCTCTAGAGACAATAACAGACAGAGTGGTCTCTGTGTCTCTAGACAATAACAGACAGTGGTCTCTGTGTCTCTAGAGACAATGAGAGACAGAGTGGTCTCTGTTTCTATAGAGACAATGACAGACAGAATGGTCTCTGTGTCTCTAGACAATAACAGACAGAGTGGTCTCTGTGTCTCTAGACAATGACAGACAGAGTGGTCTCTGTGTCTCTAGAGACAATGAGAGACAGAGTGGTCTCTGTCTCTAGAGACAACAGACAGAGTGGTCTCTGTGTCTCTAGACAATGACAGACAGAGTGGTCTCTGTGTCTCTAGAGACAATGAGAGACAGAGTGGTCTCTGTGTCTCTAGAGACAATAACAGACAGAGTGGTCTCTGTGTCTCTAGACAATGACAGACAGAGTGGTATCTGTGTCTCTAGACAATAACAGACAGAGTGGTCTCTGTGTCTCTAGACAATGACAGACAGAGTGGTCTCTGTGTCTCTAGAGACAATAACAGACAGAGTGGTCTCTGTGTCTCTAGACAATGACAGACAGAGTGGTATCTGTGTCTCTAGACAATGACAGACAGAGTGGTCTCTGTGTCTCTAGAGACAATAACAGACAGAATGGTCTCTGTGTCTCTCGAGACAATAACAGACAGAGTGGTATCTGTGTCTCTAGAGACAATGACACACGGAGTGGTCCCTGACGACAAATATAACTTTCTCCTCCTTGATCACAAAGTCAAATCCATGTCCGCACACCCGTTCGTCACACGCGTGCTTGCGTGCTACCTAACGCCATTAACTCGAGGAACAATTTCCACTTTTCAAATCTCTTCAAATCCTCTCGGGGGGATCTTCAAGAATTCCCCCCTCCCAACTTTATTAGGTGCGGTGGCAGACGGAAGGAGACGTCAACATTCCAGTGATTTAATGCTTAAAGATTCAGCCATACCGCACTCATCCTCCTGTTCACAGCCGTGCAGAGCCAATGGTGGGAATTCTACATTCCCATGGTGGGAGCGACTCTCTCCATGCATATGACAACGACTGTGAGCTTCCCCACAAAGCGGTACTCTATTTATCGACCCTGAAAGGATGACGGGCTGAGTTTCCGTGAACGTTTGTGCCGCTGTTCCAGTCACATTTACCGTCCTGACATAATCGCCCATTGACACAAACAGTGACCAAATAGACTTACACAGACTCACATGGTCACATCGACACGCATACTTACATAGAGACCCATAGACTCACATACACTAACACAATCTAAAGACGGCGACAAAGAGTAAACGGATATGAACACGAGACCCGTAGACTCACATCGTTAATAGAGACCCATAGACGAACACAAATAATCATAGGCTCACACTAAGACCCATAAAATTGCATAGAGACCCATAGACACGCACTGAGACCCATAGACTCACATAGTCATAGAGACACATAGACTTCCATAGAGACCCATAGACTCACGTACATTTACACAATCTATAGACGACGCACATAGATAAACGTATATGTACACAGAGACTCGTAGACTCACATCGTCATAGAGACCCATAGATTAACAAAAAGACCCATAGCGTTTGAGGTGGGGGGAAGGGTGGGGGGAAGGGTGGGGGGAAGGGTGGGGGCCGGAGAGGCGGTTGGGTACAGGAGGTGGTGGTGGTGGGGGAGGGTAGCGATGAAAAGGAGATTGTAGTGGGGGTGAGGATGGGGGAGAGGAGGGTGGGGGGTTGAGGTATCGATGAGAAGAAGATTTGGAGTATGTTGACATGTTTTGGTCTGTGCTTTCTCGAGACCTTTAACGTCACAGGAATTTAATCCGCCTCAAAGAGGCGGCGCCGAGAGACGAGCTCAGCCCCCGCGTCCATTCTTGCGCCGGCAGCAAAGACAAAGACAAAGGTCCCCCGTGTAGGCTTCAGCGGAACCTACCGGATGAATTTACATCTGACACAGATACAACGGGAGGCTGATCGATGCCCGGGTGCGGTCGAGGGATGGCTCCCTATTGGTCAACCACGTTATGTCCTCAGAGGAGGTGTTGAAGGCGCAGCTACTGAACCTGGAGCGTGCCACTAAGAGGTGGGGCCTTACCATCAGCTCCACCAAAACTAAGCACCTGCCTGGGTATTTTGTGCCACACTCCACCCCTCAGCTCCCCATTGGTGATGGAGCAGTTGTGGAGAAAGTGGAGAGTTTCCCATGCCCTGGAAGTGTGCTTAAACCAGCTCCGGTTTGACAGCAGAGGTCTCATTCTGAATCGTACGGGTGACATCTTTTTATCGGCTGCGCAACGTTGTGTGGAAGCTACCTGGTCTGTCACTCCGCACGAAGTTTCGGGTCTTCTAGGCCACAGTCATGCCCTCCCTTCTCGATGATTGTGAAACGTGGACCCTCTAATGGAACATCTGTGCCGGTTATAAACATTCAGGCTGGCATGCTTACAATCCATCCTGGGTTTAACCAGGCTGGATTGTGTGAGGAGCTCACAAATCCATCAGTGAGCTCCTCCGGCAGGCAAAGCTCCGTTGGCTGGGTCATATCGCCCGCACGCCAAGCCACCGCATGCCCAAGCAGCTTTTGTTTGGCCGCATAGAGGGGGCTAAACGAGCACGGCACGGGCTGGAGAAGAGATGGAGCTGATACGGTACGGGAGGATGTGGAGCTGAGTGGACTTGCCCATGACTGGTACCAGCGGTGTCAAGATCGGCCTCTGTGGAGGAGGCTCGTGAAGGACGCTGCTGGGCAGTTGGAGGCAGTCGCCCTCCAGCAACAACGGAGGGCAGACGAGCGACGCTCACAACAACGAGCGGAGCGCCGGGCAGATAAAATACTACAAGTTGACACAGTAGGGGGTAGAGCTGGTGTGCATCTTCCGGTAATTTCAGTCAATCAACTCACGGCACCTGCTGGGTCTGTCCCTAGACCTCCTGTCAGCGAGCCTTCGACACTTCACGTGGCCTCAAAGTGCACCTAGCCTGGCACAGGCGCCGTGGTGACGTCACAGTCACTTCGTGGTGAATGGCGGGTGTTAGTACCGGCCTGGGCCTCC